TTAACTTGAAGTTAATATTATTGTAAATAAATAATATCTAATTAATAAAATGAAGAAATATTAGTTATCTAGCCAAATTAGTGTAAGTAAATGAGAGATCCGCACAACCAAGCATTAGTTGAAGACTGGAATTGATCTACCATTTTAAGAATAGACCACACATATACCTCTTTGGAGCTAGTGCCTTCTCCACCCACCCTTCCCCCTCCACCGCCCTTAGCAATTGCAATAGACTTCGAGTAATTTGCCTGCCTATAAGTAGAGGCAAGCGGGCAATACATTAAGCCAGCAGTTACAAGTAGAGCGCCAGCCACGAGATGCAGTCGAGTGGCTGGTGGTTTTAAGACGCTGCGGCTGGTCGCACAGCGAGCGTCGAGGGTTTGGGCAAATAACTTGTAGGAAATTAAGTTTGTTAGTAATTAGAGCACCACTAAGGACACCTGAGCGTCCTTCTGTCTGCCCCGGCAAATTTATATGGCAGGCAGCTACGGTGCAGCAGCAGTACACACACAACAATTAAATCCAAAGCTCGTCGCCTGCTACATTTTGGAGCTCCTGCTGCTGCTCCTGCTGCTGCTGCTGCTGCTGTTGCTGCTGCTCCTGCTGCTGCTGCTGCTCCTGCTGCTGCTGCTGCTACTCCTGCTGCTGCTGCTGCTCCTGCTGCTGCTCCTGCTGCTGCTGTTGCTGCTGTTGCTGCTGTTGTTTAGCCCGTTTGCTGTGTGCCTAGATTCGTCGTGTCTTTTTTTTTTTTGGCTCTTGTTCTGGCCTGTTGTTGGTTCTTTTATTTCCTTTTTTTGTGCTTAGGTATCTTCACAACCTGCAAAGTAACAAAAGTTTCAAGTCGCCTTGTCGAAAATTCCTCAAGCCGAAACTTGCCAACTTTGATGTCCAAGCATCTAGCCAGCCAGCCCCACGGCCAGCCTCCATACGCTGGCTGTTCCGGCTAGCACTCCACAAAGTATGGCATGCGTTAGTGGGATAAACATTTGGGTGAGTAACTATCGCCAAGTGCATGCCTGGGCAGCGGCCAGTTGCCAGTTGCCAGTTTCGACTGCCCTTCTTGGCCACTTGAGCAA